AAGAAACACACTTAGTGGTTTTTCTCACAGAGCTAAGAAGAATGTGTGCCTACTTGATTTGGAAAGCACCATCCCCACAGGGAGCTCTGGCCCATGACAGCAATACCCACCTGACTGACCTGAACCAAGAGAAGAACACACTCTTGCAGTAGGTGATAAACAGGTGGAGGAGAAAGGAGGAGAAGAAATGTAGATTACTTTTAACCTAGCAGTTCGAGCTCAGAAGTTGCACTCACAACTCAAGAATCCCCAGCAGTGCCCTGCAGCAAACACTCTGCCAGCATTACTATCAAATCCAGTCCTAAAGTGTCAGGACATGGGAAGCTCCAAGGTAACACCCAAGCAAACTCTGGATGCCAGGGAGGTTTTACAGGCACAGCCATCCTCATCCATTTGTACTCCTTAAACCCACAGCCAGCTGGAACCAGCTCCACCAGGCCCCACAGCAACTCTTGGTTGTTGTACATCACATTCCATAAATCCCACAGGCCACCAGGACTGTCTGACAGTCTCTGCCATGGGCACCATAAGTTATAGAAAAGGTAATAAAGTTTAATTTTAGTATACATCAGTTCCCTCCCCTAAGAAATGAGTCACCTTGGACTTAACATTAATCTTGTTCTAGGCCACTATGGTAGAAAAGATTGGTGTCATTGCAGAAACCATTTGTAATTCCTCTTTGTAATTTAAACTGGCATTTGGAGGAAACCAGGTTGTCATGCCACACTTAATCCAGTTTCTGCTAGGATTTTAGCAAATTTTAACCACATGAATCAATTTAAAATCTCATCCTTTTGAGAGAGAATCACTCAACAGATACATTCACTCTGAAAAAAGCAAGTCAATAAAAAAGCAACATTCAAGTGCATTTGCTGGCAGAGTTTGAATGGGGGAATACCACTAATCCTTCTGATTTGGAAGGAATACCCTCCATCAAGGAAACTATTCATGCTGAAAGGCAAGAGTTGCACTCATCACGTTTCATCCAGCCTGGATTTGCAAGGAACAGAAGCCTTGATGACATGTTTACTTACTTGAGGTGGGAAAAACATTAATGGATGCCTCCAACACAACAACAAAAAAAATACAACCACACACAAAATTACAAACACACACACCTTCTTAAATCTACTTTATACACATCTCACTTTGTTTCAGCTAAAAAGAACAGATGTGAAAAATAGTAGTGTGATACATGTTTTTAAATTAAACTTGACATTAAGTTTAAAATCTAGTAAAAATGGAGTTGAGATGTGAAGAGTGAGTTCAACCAGAGAGCTATCCTAAAGTATAAACCATTTTCCTTGGTACCTTCTGACAGATAATATCTTTTAAGAGAAAAGAAAATAACCATTCTGCCAAGAATTCCTCCTACTCCTTTAATCTTTATTTTTAACTTCAGGGCTAACTTGAAAAGTTAACTTTTAAACATCTCTCCTACAAAAGACAGATTCAAAGCAAATGGACTCTGCACAACTGACTGAGCTTAAACTTGGAAGTTTCAGTCTGAAGCTCCCAAATCCTAACAAGGCACCATCTGTCAGAGCAGGGTAACAAACTCTTGGTCCATCAATGTTCACGAATTTACTTGGCATTTAACATGAACTTGTCCTATTTTATAATTTTGCTTGGCTAAGGCCTGACAAGTGCTCAGATCAGCTAAAACTTCCCAAGAGCTCCAGCTGGCAAATAAACAGAACTCACTAAGTCACAGTGACTCAAGTGATTCCAATGGTAAAAACAGATGCTTTGGGCAAAATTATTCAATTGACAGTTAACCTGGTTGAAGTATGTCACACTAAGATCACCAGCAGAAATTTATTTTATTGCTATACTGATACTGGCTAAACTGGTGCACTTTTCCAGCACAGATACACTACACAACAACCAGAGACAAGCAAAAGAGAATCCATGCAACCTCCATCAATCTTCCTAAGGTTAATCCTATTACAAGGAGTATTGGGGGAAAAAAAATTACATCTGTACTATGCAAAATGAAATTTTGAGATGAAAGGACAGAGAATTAACAGCTTTGTTTGCTGGTTCCTGTCCCCCCATCATCCCTCTCCCCCAGGAGTACAGCAGGTCTTTAAGTTATTAGAGAAAAGCTTTCAGCAGGCAGCAGGAACAATCAGCACACAACTCCAACTGCATTCTGCTCTTCTTACCAAGATCCCTTCAGATCAAATCATTATTGAATTACAAAACTTCTATGAACACGATTTTGGGTTTTATGCACAACTATATTGTCACAAGCAATATTAAATAGTTGCAAACCCACGTTCTTAAATATAAATACAACCCTTCCCACACAAGTTAAATCAGAAAGTGCGAAATATTTTAAGTAACATTAGAATAGTCAAAAAATCACTTTTCAAAAACCAGAGGGAAAAAATACCCTAATATTTAATACAATTGCTATCAGAATGCAATTGATGCAAAGATGCATATTTTTGTAAGGCATAGGAACAACCTCCAACAACTGACACATGATATTCGATTTAAAAATTAAAACGATTAAAAAATACCACACAGAATTTTCAGCTGCTTCATTTGAGAAGGGAAAAAAGCTCATAAGGAACTGAAGGTATCAAGAAATACTGAGGCATCTCTTTGCAAAAGGAAGTGTGCATGTCTAACTATTCACACAACACAAAAATAAACTAGAATATTTATTAGCTCGGAGAAACCAAACACAGCATACCCACAAAAAACATTTACACCTGATCAAATATGTTAAACAAGGCAGCTCCACTAATTAGCTTTTTGATTACAACAACCATGAAGTGACTTTGTGAGACATTAAGGAACAGCATGAGACATACTAGTAGAGCCAGAGTTTCAAATGAAGTGTTTTACTCTAAAAATAGTTGCATATTTCAAGTGTTGAACCTGCTCGTATGCTGGGGCACACGGTATCTGCTTCTGGGAAGCTACAGCACACAAGTTAACTCACAAGGTCAATAACTGAAGAAAACCCTGCTCTCACATGGCTCTGTTCTTTAACAGCACCACGAGAATTATCCAGCATTTCCTTAGGAAAGCACTAAAATACAAAACAAAATTGGTATTTGAACGTTTTTTGAAGCAGCTGACTACAAAAATACTTTCAGAAAGCCTGTAAACATTTACAGCACAGTATGTGTATTAATGCAACATTATTACTTTCAAGGTCAGTATTACACATGCAGTTTCTTGGAGCTACATATTTTGGTGTTATTTTTAACATCTGACAGAGCATCTTGTACTGTTGCAAGCTCTACACTGTTTACAAATACTCCCAAGCTGCAGCTGCTGACTCTACAGAGCATGTCTTGCCACAGCAAAATGAAGAGTAATTTTAATTATCCAGTAATGGCATTTTTTTACAGTACTATATGCACTCGTGTTCTGTAGATTGGCTTTGTAATTTTTCCACCTTTTGACAATTATATGGAACAGCAGGATTTGATTACAAGAATATCCATTTCTACAAAAGGTCAAAAAAGTCCAAGTACACTTGAGAGACACGTCTAACCTTGTTCAGATTATGGATGAACTTCCCAGCCTCTCTTAGCAGGTGCTATTTCAGGAACCTCTACATTTGGCTTACTTTTTTAAATGGAAATGCAGAGATAAAAAAAGCTGGTTTGAAATCAAATGCCAAGTTTCTGTTTTAATTCTTCATTCTCCCAAAATACTTAACGACCAGCACAAGAGCAGAAGGTAGCAGTAAACAACTTACCCACACAAGCATTTAGGAACAGCCAGTCAGTCTTTTTCATTCTATTTTTTATTTGCTTTAGTTTTTTGAAGTCAACTTCAAGCTCCTCCTTGCTGCCAACAGCCCCAGCCAATTCAATTCTTTGGAAGTCCATTTTCACATCAGATTCACGTTTGGTTGTTGGTGGAGATCTTCTTTGGCTATTACCACTACTACAGCTGCCTCTCCACCGAGCCCTGTCCTGCTCGTTTATGATGGAAGAAGCCTCTTCTGTGTCTGCCAGTTCTATTGCTTCGATGTTGTTGGGTCTGGGGTGGTCACATACAACACATTTCCTGGCCTTGGCCCAGTTTTCATATGTACAAACAGAACAAGTCCAGTGCTGAGCCCTTGTGTTTAGTTTATTTCTGTCATTGTATTCCTCACACGGATCCACGGAAAAAGGGACCGGTCTGGAGCCAGAGCCTGAAGACTGAGGAGACTCCGTGGGACTCCTGGTCCTGCGCTGAGACAAGCACTGGGTACACCTTATAGCTCTTGGCCAGTTCAAGTACGTGCACATGTGGCACGACCATTTATTTGCACTTTCCATACTGTAGGATGATTTAACCCTTGGTCTTGCACTGGAATCCGGGCAGATCAAAGGACTGCTCCCTCCTTCAGTGCTCGTAGGATCCCAGTCCCTCCCGATATCACTGGAACCACTTTTGAAAGGATCTTCGGTGATAATTGTTCCACTGGGTCTCTGGGCACGACACATGGTGCACTTGATTGCAGAAGGCCAATTCTCATATGTACAATACTCACAGGCCCATTTAATTCCACGCTCTGTCATCGTGCACTCCTTGAAATGAACGGCGGCGGGCAGAAAGCTGAGGAGTCAGAACACACCATCAGTACACAGTGCCAGCAAAGGAGCTGTTCAAAACAACAAAGGAATGAGATTTAACCCAGTGCATACAAAAATCAGGCTGGGCAAATGAGCAGTGTTTTTTATTTGATATTATTATGACATCTAAGGGGAGTAAAATCATTATGAAAAGGCTGAGACTTGACCTACCGGCATTTTACATGCAGAATTTGGGATTTACAAGTGCAAAAATGAGAAAAAAACCTCAGTCTTGCATTTCTGAAACTCTTCAAATTTGCAGAGAGTTCCAAACAAATTCAGAATACACATTAAGCACTGAGACCAGTATAGCTACAGAAACAAGTTATAAATATTAAATTATTAAAATAAAACTCAATATGAATACAGTAGTGCAAGAAAAGGAACACGAAGTCTATGTCCTGTAATAGACCTTACAGGATTTGGAAGGAAGGAGTGTATCAGGTGGGCAGTTACACAGTGAGTAAGCAGTTCTTTCAGAAAAGGAGGGTGTTGGAATCCACATAAAGTATTTACAATTTGAAAATTTTAGACATGTGCTTAACCAAGACTAGGTCTTGACTGGACATCACCCAGATCAGGAGTGTTACCAAGTGAAAATGCCATTTGAAGGCAAACACAAGCAGTGTGTGTTGGCAGGCTAAAACAGTATTTTCATGCAACAAATTCAGATTTCAACGCAATTCCAACTCACTTTTTCTCTAATGAAGAGGGGATTCTGTCTTCATGCTGGCTCAGACCTTTTCTTCAGATTGCCAAATATGAAGGATGAGACTAAGCAGATAACTATTCCTGTAAACAAAATGAAAACTCATTATAGGTTTCCTACTGGACCTGAGTAACCAGAAAGTTAATTATTAAATGCCACACCTATTCCAATCCCAACTTACTTGGTTAAACCCAGTCATGACCTGCTGAGGTCACGAGAGACTGGTTAAAATAAACCAATATTTATAAAAAAAATGGTGGTCACACAAGCGGTCAATCTGCTGAAGTGAAAGAAGTAAAACCAAGCAACAAGTTCAGACCAAAACATCCACGAACACTCTTACTGCAATCTGAAACTCTGGATGGGGAAGGCAGAAAAAGCTTTGTGTAGAGAGCATAATAGAGGGAAAGGGTGAGGCAGGTAGATAAAGGACAAATAGAAAAACGTACACAGCATTTTCTCCCTTACCCAGAATAGTTACCCAGCCTGTAAAACTCAACCAAGTGCTGGTTTTAAGAATGTGAAACTGATTAAATACAAACTTGTCACATCACTTGACTGACACTTCTTATTTATCATATTGTAACTCTCTAAGCTAGCAAAACCACCCAGAGCCTAAGAACTAAAAGTCACAAGCTGCACAAAAGGATTAAATTCAAAATTAGACACATCAAACCAAAAATTAGTTAATACCTGTTCCCCAAACAGCCAGTGTTTTACGAGTTAGTACATTCCTCACTGAAATACCTTCACACACACCTTGCTCTATCAAGGCATAGCAAAAACTTCAATTTGTCAGCTTTATTGCTACTATCTCCTCCTGAGGACTCCAGCACAGAACACAGTTTTTTTCCAAGAGCTCAAGTGATCTATTCAGCAGATCAGGTGGCTGCATGAATGAGGGGCTATCGCATGGCCAGGACAGAGGAGAGGGCAGCACTATCCTCTTCCATAGCAATCCATATTTATGCTGCATGAAAGCAGAGGAGCAATCAGGAACACAGAAAGCTCTCTCACACAGCTCAGGTTCCATAGTACTGGTTTTAACAGCCTGCAGAGAACTTCACTCCCACCTCTACTTTATAAAACTGTGTCAGACTGAGCAATGTGCTGAAAAGTAATCAGATTTCCTGCTGCTTCCCCTCCACCATTCCTGACAGATGTCCATGCCCATTTATAATGGGGAAAAAACGGAGCTGGACCATACCAGGTGCCCCATATCTGTGACAAACCAAGTGAAAAATGCATACAGGAGAATATAAAGTTAATTTGATTTTACTAAAGGTGACTTTGCAAAGAAGACTTTTGGGGAATTTTAAGGAAAAAAAAGTTTCTTTACTTTGCCAAAACATCTCCTTTATGAGTACACTAGACATTAGGTTTATGGATTCCATTTGGCCAAAGTTTTTCCCTCAATTCCCAAAATAAGGTTTTTAATTACTTTCTTAATAAGTTGCTTCTCTCTAGAAACAGAGATTTTTTTAGGAATTAATGTTTTGTACTTAGAAACACGGGAGAGTTGAACAGGGTTTTCAGAACATAGAAAGCAGGAGCACACTGCCCGTGCACCTGCCCACTGCCACCAAGGACCACCAAAGGTGGCTGCCCCAATACTCCAGTGCTTGAGAATAATTCCTACTGGAGCAGAAGTTGGTATGGTAGGAGTTTGATGCTTCCCATCAAATCCACAAACAGTGTGTGATGGGTATCTGTAACTGTACATGGTTTCTTCCCTGCCCTAGTTTGTAAGGCCTTAAACAAAGTAGTTCCCACTGCAGACAATTCCCAACCCACATTTGGGATGGGGCATGAAAACAACACATCATCTGTTTTAGTGATATTAAGACTGGGAAAGGAGATTGCAGCTCAAGTTGGAAAGCAGCTGGCTGCAAAAACAATCTAAACAAGTACTGAGATAGTACTTAGGAAACAAAATAGCTCAGGACATCCAACATTACAGGAAAGCTTTCATAGGTACCACAGGATCAGCTTTTTAGCTGCAATTATCTTCTGTGCCCCTTAAAAAGCAGATGCTCTCAGACATAATTCTTAGAGAGGCTGAGTATCTGCAGCTTTGAAAGCCTCTGAGATATGAGCTCACCACCTCCAAACACAAGGCCTCGGGTTATTATGAAGTAAAGAAGATAAAAAGGCTCAACAGAGCAATGCAATTTCTCTTCCTTGACAGCTTTGCCAACACCAAGTACAGTGAGGAAATTCAACAATGGAGTTTTTTTTACTGTTTTACTGTTTTTCACTTGATCTGACCTCCAGTTCTACCCACCAAGGCAGCTACCCATGGATGGGTCTGGTGGGAGCAGAGTTGGAGGTCAGAGACACCAGACCCATCCAATTTTGTTTACACCAGGAACTGCAGTGACAGGACAAGGGGAAATGGCTTCACATTGAAAGGGAGTAGGTTTAAATTAGATATTAGAAGAAATTGTCCCCTGTGAGGGTAGTGAGGCCCTGGCACAGAGTGCCCAGAGAAGCTGTGGCTACCCCTGGATCCCTGGAAGTGGCCAGTGGGATAGTGGGAGGTGTCCCTGCCCGTGGCAGGGGATTGGAACAAGATGAGTTTTAAGGTCCCTTCCAACCCAGACCATTCTATGATTCTATGAATTACTGGTGATACAGCATCACCATCCAGGCACAGCAGTTTGAAGCTTATTACATTTTTTCCCAATTACTTCTTTGACTCTGTTTTCAAGTCAACTTGTTATTTTAGATTTCTCACAGAGGAGAAGCTGAATCATGGAGTGCCTCCTCTGACAGAGAAATAGCAACACAGTGACTGTGAAGTGCAGGTGCATGCCTTTATGTCCAAAAAGCATGAGCAGACAAGAAATTAAAACCCACAAAACTTCAAACAAATTCCAGTTGATCAGTTTACACAGCGTGCTGAATATCTTCTGGACACACTTGTAGAGTAACTCAATACACTGAAGAGAAAAATATATTAAATTCTGATAAATAAGAAACAAAAAATTAAAAAAAACCAAAACCTTATCAGATCAGCCTTTTACTACATAAAGTCAGTTGTAAAAGGTAACCTAGAATACCCAGAAATCTGGTTTTTGCTTTGCTTCAATTTTTAAAAACATTCTTTTTAGGTGCACACAAAGACACAAAACAGCTCACAGAAATTGGGAAGAAACAATGAAGCTCTCAAATATCACTTTTATGATATTACACTCCCCTCCTCAATTTAATTATTTGCTCTGTCCAGAAGTTGTTTTTCCTTTGGCTCAAACAAGGAACAACATGGAGCTCCACTTCATTAAACGATCAAGCCCTCCCTGTAAACAGGCCAGATGCCGATTTACACCAGTCTACACTACAGATTTTTTGTTGGGATGGTGCTGGCATCTGTGCTGGCTGAAACCTTACGTAATTACACTGACCAAATCAGTGTTCTCACCTCCAATTCACTTTGTTCTTGTCTACGGATTTTCAAATAAAATTGCTTCTGTGTTTCCAGGGAAAAGGGGGAGCTCAAGATGTCAGCTTCAGCCTTTAACAAGGCTTGCAAGGCAAATCAAGAACCACCCTCCTTCCCCCCTTGCAGCTGCCTCTCATAGGCTGCTCCAAAAAGAAAAGCAGCCTGGTTTCTTCATCTCAAAAACAATAAAGTAACTTTTTATATGAACACAATAAGCAGAAGTACCTTTTTCTGAAAGAAAGGGATCCCTTAACCAAATGCAGAATCTCTTCATTCAGCATTTCAGGGGTACAGAAGTAAAACCTTTCACAAATCTTAGCCTAATTTTCCAAGGTGGACATTTACTGACTTTCTTCTCATATCTTACCAAACTTGCTCTACCTGCAGCTATTTGCTCTTCTTTCTCAATAATTCAGTATAAGCCTCCACAGATCAGTATATTAAAAGCAGAAAGCTTGAACTTGGGCTTTTGTAGTTTGATGGGAACTAACAATAAGCTCCATTGTCATCTCCTCAAATTAATTTTAATAAAATTAAGAACCCTGACCTAGTCAATGGAACACACAGATCAGATCAGCACTGAATCTGGAAGCTTTGCTGTAGTATCTATGTATTATAACAAAGAATGGAAAGATTATTGTGAAACCACAAACACAGAAGCATTTTCTGCATTAGCCCAAACACACTGAAGCAAGGAATTTAATAAGCAAGCATAGTTTGCTTTGTTCTTTAAGAAAAGCAACAATTCAGTCCCAAACAGAGCAGCAAAAAGGAGAAAACACTCTGTCATCTCGGCAAAAGAGCACTGAAATAATTTTCTGCAAGCTGCTCTGTGAGGTGGGGGTTAGGAAATGTTGATTTGCTTAAAGAACACCAGCTGGCTGTTTGCAGTGCCAGCAGCAGGAACTGGACCCAGACTGCAGCAGGCACAGAATGCAGAAACCCTGCTCACCAAACAGACACAAGCAGGACTGGGAGGCTTCTGTCAAACTGCACCGTCCTCACGGCAGCAAGAGCACTGCTCCAAAACACACACACATCACCTCTGGCTCTCCTGAGGAGTGCAGCTCTTCAGTTAAGACTGGCACAAACCTGAATTCCAATCACTCACAATCTATAAACTACAGCATCAGTGGTGCATGAGGAAAAAAATGAAAATATTTTAGCTGGAACTATTTACAAATCTAGCATGTTAAGTGATTTCTACCATTTTCTTCAGTTTTGATAGTCCAGATCACTAAAAATACTCCTTACTGCAGATTTTTAGGTATGACCTGCCTCACTACCTAAAACTTTTCATCTTATAAGTGAGGAATGAGTTAAAATCCAGGAGACCTCAGCTCTCACAAAGAAACACAGTGCAAGAAACACAGTTCTCTTAACCAAAAAAAGCAAGAAAGTAAGAATTCACTTTGAACACATTCAGAAGTCTGTTCATTGGGTGAATTCAGATGGGTTTCATTTACATAAAATTAATAAAAAATTGTTTTCATTCTGCTTTATGGATTCATATCTCATTTCAAAGCGTCTTAAATCTACTTTATTAGGTATTTATAGTATTCAGAGAAATTATGCTGATTTTGCTTCAGCTTTCTTTTCAATATTCTATTCACACTTCCAACTCAACTGCTGACTTTTCAT